AAGGTAATCATAGAGCTGAAGGAAGATAGGGATAAACTTCTGAATGAATTCAGAAAAGAGCTAGAAATATTGAAGAATACTCGGGCTGAAATAAAGAATGAAGTGAAACACTCCATAAGCCAATTAGAAATGACAGGAGAAAGCCTCACCAATAGGATGAACGAAATGGAAAACAGAGTATGAAGACTGGAAGATAAAGTGGACGAACTGGACCACTCTAGCAAAGATTATGAAAAATTTAAGAAATCACAAGAATGGAATATGCAAGAGATGTGGGACACCATGAAAAGACCAAATCTATGACTCATAGGAATAGAGGAAGTGGAAGAATTTCCGGTTAATGCTGTTGACTGGATCTTAAACAGGATTGTAAAAGAGAATTTCCCAAAATTAAGGAAAGACATTCCCATACAAATACAGGAAGCACACAGAACACCAAATAGACAGGATCAGAAAAGAAACTCCCCACAACATATCATACTAAAAACACTAAACGTACAAAACAAAGAGAGAACACCGAAAGCAGCAAAAGAAAAACAAGTCACATACAAAGGAAAGCCCATCAGAATTACAGCTGACTTATCAATGCAAACTATGAAAGCCAGAAGAGCCTGGACCAAAGAATTCCCAGTGTTAAATGACCACAGATGCCAACCCAGATTACTATATCCAGTCAAAATGTCTATTATAGTTGAGGGGGAAAGAAAAATGTTCTATGACATGAAAAGCCTGAAAGAATACATGTCCACAAAACCAGCCCTTCAAAGAATACTTGAAGCAATACAGAGAGCAGAGAGAGAAACAACTATACGCTAGGGACAATGAAAGAAAATAAACAGATATAATCTAGGAAACACAAAGTTACACAGAGAACACAAACAGCAATCAAAATGATGACAACCAATACATACCTTTCAATAATAATCTTAAATATCAATGTACTAAACTCAGCAGGCAAAAGACACAGGCTAAGCGAATGGATTAAGAAACAAAATCCATCTCTTTGCTGTCTGCAAGAAACCCATCTCACCTTCAAGGACAGGCACTACCTTAAGGTAAAGGGATGGAAAAGAATACTCCAAGCAAATGGCACTAAGAAACAAGAAGGGCTTGCAATTCTAATATTTGACAAAATAGACTTCAAAGTAAAACTAATCAGAAGAGATAAGGAGGGTCATTTCATTCTGATCAAAGGAACAGTTAACCAAGAAGATATTACAATCCTTAACATATATGCACCAAATTCTGGTGCACCCAAATTCCTAAAAATAACACTGCAGGACTTTAAGACACAGATTAATCCCAACTCAGTAATAGTAGGTTAGACAGGTCAACTGAACAGAGAAATAACATAGAGACATCTGAATTAAACAATACCATACTTCAAATGGACCTAACAGACAACTGCCGAATATTGCACCAAAGGACATACTTTCTACTCAGCACCCCATGGAAACTTCTCCAAAATCGACCATATACTGGGGCACAAAACAAACCTTAACGAATACAAAAAGATTGAAATTACTCCGTACATTCTATCAGACTGCAATGAAATAAAGCTTAAAATTAGCACTGGAAAAAACCCTAGTAACTACATGAACACATAGAAATTAAACAACATACTCCTGAATGATGAATGGGTCAAAGGAGAAATTAAGAAAGAAATAAAAGTATTCCTGGAACTAAATGATGGAACTTTTTCAAAAATGGACCACATACTGGGCCACAAAACAAACCTCAACAAAAACAAAAATACTGAAATAATTCCATGCATTCTATTGGACCACAAATCAATAAAGCTCAAAATCAACACTGGACAAAGCCCTAGTCACTACATGAACTCATGGCGATTGAACAACACCCTCCTAAACAATGAGTGGGTCAAAGGAGAAATTAAGAAAGAAATAAAAGAATTCCTGGAATTCAACAAAAAGGACAATACAACACAACACAACCTCTGGGACACATTAAAAGCAGTCCTAAGAGGGAAGTTTATAGCTCTAAGTGCCTACATTAAAAAACTGGAAAGAGCTCAAATAAATGACCTAACACTGCAACTCAAGGCACTGGGAAAGGCAAGAACAAATGAACCCCAAACCCAGCAGAAGAGAAGAAATGTCAAAAATCAGAGCAGAAATTAATGAAATAGAAACAAAGAAAACAATACAAACAATACAAAGAATCAACAAATCCAAGAGATGCTTCTTTGAAAAGATAAATAAGATTGACAGACCACTAGCCCAGTTAACTAAATGAAAGAAAAAGCACCTCCAAATCAACAAAACCAGAGATGAAAGGGGAAACAACACAACAGACACCAGAAAGATATAGAACATTATAAGGGAATGCTTTAAAAATCTGTATGCTACTAAATTTGAAAACCTAAAAGAAATGGATATCTAAAGGCATGGGAACCACCAAAACTAAACCAAGAAGAGATTAACAGCTTAAACAGACCCATAACACAAAAAGAAATTGAAACAGTAATACAAAACCTTCCAACTAAAAAAAGCCCAGGACCAGATGGATTTACTCAGAATTCTATCAGACATTTAAAGACGATCTACATCCAATACTACTTAATTTATTCTAAAAATAGAAATGGAGGGAAAATTTCCAAATTCCTTCTATGAAGCCAGCATCACTCTCATACCAAAGCCTGGTAAGGATACAACCAAAAAAGGAAAATTATAGACCCATTCCTTAATGAACATAGATGCAAAAATTCTCAACAAAATACCTGCAAACTGCATACAGACACACAAAAAAGATCATGCACCATGATCCAGTAGGTTTTATTGCAGAGATGACTCTTAACTAGAGAAATATATATGTAAGTCAATAAGTATTATAAAATCATATAATGAACTCAAAGACAAAACATCACATGATCATGTCAATATATGCAGAAAAGGCCTTTGAAAAATTCCTACATATTTATGTAGCAGTCCTAGAGGGAATTGGACTGGAGGGAACATGCTGCAACATAATTAAAGCTATATACAACAAATCCATGGCCAACATCATTCTAAATGGAGAAAAACTGAAAGCATTCCCATTAAAACCAGGAACTAGACAAGGATGTCTACTGTCTCCACTCCTTTTCAACATAGTGCTTGAAACTCTTGCTAGAGCAGTAAGACAGGAGAAGGAAATTAAAGGAGTA